GAGGGGACAGCAGGAGCCCCGTAGAGGGAGGCTGCGGCCCTGGCACCTCGGTTGGTGCATAATGAGAACGTCAGCGGGGTCAGGACCCTTCTGCTTCTCAGTTGCCAGATTTATAAAAGAGGATAATCATCTCATGTGATTCACAGGCTTGTCTTCAAAGTTAAATGAGAGAATGAAGGTGAAGACCCAACGTGTGCCTGACACATGGTTGGAGCTTGATAAATCGTGAGCTCCTGATGGAGACCAGCCCTCAGAAAGGGTCTGCCTACAACAGGTGGAGGAGGATGAGAGGAGGTGGTGGTGGTCCTTCCCCAGCTGCAAGGCAAGATCTCTGGGGCGTCAGCCCGCCGAGCTGAGCCCCACGAGCTGCCAACCACCTTGTCAGCTAAATGCAGAACTTCACCAGAATGTTGTAAAAATAAAAATGGGAAACAACTCGATATCCATCAACAGGGGCCTGGTGAAATAAATTTTGGTATTGCCAGTTCAAGGGACTACCATACGGTTCTTAAAAAGAATGATGCAGATTTGCACGTTAAGTAAAATAAAAATATCTCTAAAGTATTTGTTAAGTAGGGGGAAGTGATATACGGTCAATATAGCAGGTTGCTGATATTAAAACATGTAGGCATCTAGAAAGATAAATCCAAGACTGGTCGTTGTTACTGCCTGTGGCAGGGAACACTGGGAGGCAGGGATAGGAGGGAGGTTTATTTCTCCCTGAATGCCCTCTTGTGCCACTTGACTTTTTAGCACGGCTGTAACAAGTGTGGTCAAGAGGCCAGAATTTTCTAAGTTTCCACTGTTGAAAAAACAAATCCAGCCTTTCAAGGCGGAGAGAGCCAGATGTGCCACTTCTCACTGTGACGGCAGCTGAGATACTGCGTGTCTGAGCCTCTGCTTCCTCTTCTGCAAAATGGGATAAGAGGGTCGGCGAGGATTAAATGAAATAATAACACGGTAAAACCTTGGATTGCGAGTAACGTGGTTTGCGAGTGTTCCGCAAGATGAGCAAACATTTCTAATCCATTTTAACGTGGTAAACGAGGGATGTCTTGCAATACGAGTAATTTGTTTCCAGCACAAATTATGCTCGCAAGCCAAGGTATTACTGTATTTAGTTACATTTTTTGCAGACATCAATTACTCAATAAATGTTAGCTATTAAAATTGGAGTTATTGATTTGTGCTAGCTGGTTTATCATTTTTATTGTTTTTATCAAGGAGAATAACGCATTCAAGTTACTCTATGGAAATGCATCTGCAGTGACGTTAGTCACCTTCTTCCAGCGTAAAAGACACATAAGGACTCCTGCAGGATCCAAACTGAGCCTGTCCTAAGGAATGGGACTGTTCCTTGTTCCTCACCTGCGATCAGGTCCCTGTCCTCTAAGGCAGGCCTCAGAGTAGGCCAGGACCCTTGGAACTGGGCAGGGAGCGGGGAGAGCCTCGTCTGCCCCCGGACCAGCCCCGCTCACAGTGAGAAACAGAGGTCAGCCCTAGGACTTGTCCATCCCTGCCTCCCGCTGTCCGTTCTCGGCCACAGGGCTACAGATGCAGTGACAGGAGGGCCACACTGGGGCAGCTGGGAAAGCCACTGCAGAGGGCCCCTTGGGACCTTGCTCAGAAGGGCCATGGGTAACACAAAGGTGCCCCTTTAGCTGCTCCCCGCAATTCCCCAGGTTGCTGGAATGTAGAGAAGGCAGACAGACTTGGTGATGAAACCTGAGTTAGAATTCCAGCCGATGACACACTCACTGTAAGACCTGAGGCCTCTGAGCCTCAGCCCACCTACAAAACGGAGGTGAATTCACCTCCCACAAAGAGGTCTCAATGTGCAGTGAGTGCTTACTGAATGTGTCTCTCTGCTAGGAAACCTGAATCTCTCTACGTAGAGAAGTGACACAGGCCTGTACTAAGTCTTGGACTTGTGGGTGGTTGGGGAGACAAGCTCAGTCAGGGGCTGTGCTTCAGGGCTCTAAGCACAGGAGGTGACATCGCATGCGGGCCTCACAGAAACGCAGGAGCCGATGTTGAGCTGCCCCCCCACCCCCAAGTGCTTCCCCAGCCCGCCAGTCATGGGCCTCCGGACAGAAGTACACACCAGCTCCTGGGAAGCTGCTGTGTCACCAAACAACCAAACCTGAAAACTCATCAAGCCTCTAGAGCTCATGATCAATTCAAAGGGACTCAAGGGACAGAGGACCACGGTGAGCGTGACCAGAGGGTTGCAATCAACACAATCCTACAGTGCAGAGGGCCAGGTTCCTTCAATGGGAACAATAAAAGGCAGGGGCATAAAAGAGAAGATGGAGGGGAAGGCACAGATTCCGAGAGGCCTGAGGGACCTGTCACCCAACTGCGATATGTGAACTTTATTAGGATATTCATTAGACAAAATAAATTGAAAAAAATTTTGAGAGAACTGCCGCAGATTGGACACTGATTGGATATTTGATAATATTAAGGAATTACTGTTGATTTTTTAGGCATGATAATGGTACTGTAAGCATCTTTTAGTGAAAAATATTGAAATATGTATGAATAAATCAACATCATGACTTGGATATGCACCCAAATAATCTGTATTGGGAAGGGGCTGAATTGATTATCAACGAAGCAAGAATGACCCAGAGCTGATTAACGTGAAAGCCAAGTGATGGGGTTTCATTAAAGGATTCCCTCCGCTTTTACGTATGTTTGAAATTCCGCTTTTATTAAAAGTGAGTGATTAAACCATGGGGGATATTTACAACACATGCAAATGAACAGGATACAAGAACCACTAAAAATCAGTAAGAAAAACAAAACGTCCAGTAGAAAAATGGCGACAGGCTACGAGAAGCAAGTCGCAGACGTGGAAACCAAATCGGGCAACGAGCAAATGAAACGACAGCCCACTTCGCTCGTGATCAGGGACATACACGTGGAAACCGCCTCACCCCTGAAAGTGTCAGTAAGGATGTGAAAGTGTTGGCAGCAGCTCTTGTCCACTGACAGCGGATCATAAATAGTCTTTTCACTTTACAACATGGCAAAATGCAGTAACGGTGAAAGCACCATGTCCTACGACTCAGCAAGTTCACACTCAGGTGTTCCCCAGAAGGGGACATTGGCGTAATGGATGTAGGAAGTGATAATAGATGGCTACCGAGATCCGACAGGAGAGAGAAGCAGACGCTACACTTCCTGACAGAAAACATCACCCCACTGAGAGCTATGTTTTCAGCGAAGTTAAACGTGACTCCACGCCCCAAGTCCAGATGCCAATTTAAAGGACATCCTGGGAACCGGGGAATACATCAAACAGCGCTGCAGAGGTGCATCGGCACCTTTCAGGGGGTGCAACGACCCCATAAACACACTGCAAGAAAAAGAGATGAAGGAGGGCTCTATAGATGAAAAGAAACATAGGAAGCCACCCAATTCCTAGAGACAGACGGCGGAACGGTGGTTTCCAGGACTGGGGGATGGGCAGTCAGTGTCTAACGGGCACAGAGTTTCAGTGGGGGGAAGATGAAAAAGTCCTGCAGACGGACGGTGGTGATGGCTGCACAACGCTGTGAATGTCCTTAATGCCGCTGAACTGTACCTTTAAAAATGGCCAAAACAGCAAATTTTATGTTATGTGTATTTCCCTACAGTTTAAAATAATTTTTTAAAAAGAGAAAAAAACACATCAGCGACATAAGCAATATAACACATGGATCTCATGTGGAGCCTGATTCAAAGAAACTACAAACAATTATGAGACAATAAGAAATCTGAACACTGCTATTGGATGGTATGAAGGAGTTATTGGTAATGGAGGGGTGACAATGCTATCATATTCATCTTTCCTTGGTTTTTAAATATATACTGAGATGTCTACAGATGAAATAACACCCAGCACTTGATTCAAAACAACACAGAAGGGGAAAGCGGGTATGGGTAACTTCAAACAAGACTGACCAGGGTTGATGACAATTCAACTTGACAGTGGACAGATGAGCTGCATTATACTAATCTGCCCGCATCTGGCATTTAACATCTGACATAATAAGAAAGTTTTTTAAATGAAGACGAAGCTACTGTAAATGTGTTCAAAAGGACCAGATGCTCTCGGCACTGTGGTCGCCGATAGCAAAATACTGGCGACGATGTAAATGTCTGTGAACGCACAGGTGGATTGAAAATATTGTGGTATTTCATTCAACAGAGGACGTGAATGAGCTAGATCGGCAGTTCTCAACCAGGGGTGATTGTCTGGAGACATCTTTGGTTGGCATGACTGGGTGGGGTGCTACTGGCCTCTAGTGGGTAGAAACCAGGCATGCTGCTGGACACCCTGCAATGCATAGGATAGCCCCCCAACAAGTAATTATATGGCCCAAAATATCAAGAGGGCCATAGTTTAAAATCTCTGTATTAGATCTATGTGGGATAGTCCTCAAAGCATAATAGTGAATTCAAACCAAGCAAAAACAAGGGGCAAAGAGATACGCACAAGCAATACCATGTGGGTGAAAGTTACGCAAAACCAAGGCTGTTTCTTGCTTGTGGGAATTTATCTGTGTAGTAAAGTATAAAAATACAGAAGGGAAGGCTATATGCCAGTTTCAGAATATTGATAATGGGGGGTGGGGGCAGGGACATAAAATGTGTGCAAAGGGGCGTCTATAGAATTTGTAGCATTTATTTTATATGTCCTACCCCTCGAAACCTAAAGAAAAGCAAATGTATTGGGTTGTCGGCAAAGCCATGACGCATTTTTGCAATGAAAAACGTAGAAAAAAATACGTCATGACGTTGCGGACAACCCAATAGTTAAGGTTACTGTCCGTCAAATCTAGATGGCAGGTACTGGACGCTGACTCTTTCAGTCTCTACTTTCCTGTACCCTTGACATTGCCAACAATGAACAAACTCAACGGTGGGGAAGTGGGCAGCAGAGGCTAGGTGGACAGATGGAGAGCGGGCGGAGCAGCAAGGCTGAGGCCTTCCCAGGCGGGAGCACTCACCGGGCCCCGGAGATCGATGAGCTCCTGCCGCATCTGGGACACCAGGGCTTCCTTGGCCAGCAGGGCCCTGTGCAGGCGCTCGTTGAACTCGATCAGCTCGCCGTGCATCTCTGCCACCTGCAACACACAAGCACAGCACGGTGAGGCTGGGGCCGACCCACTCCACGACTGGCCCCACCTTCCCTGGGCTCGCCAGCCACTCGTCAGCACGGCCCTGGGGGGTTGTCCAGGCTGGAGACATAACACCGCTCGCCTACGAGCTACGCAAATCCACCGTGAGTTAAATCCGTTTCCGACCTGGTTGATTTTAACACGATGGAATCGACAGTCCGCTTTATGGTCGGGACAGGCCTGCATCGGGTCATTTTTGCACCTCAAGTTTTTATTCTTAATGAATGGACACCTTTGTAACAAAGGTTTTGTTTCTAACCTGAGCTATGCCTGTCAAGAGTTTCCCTGTGAAAGGAACAATTAGAACACCTGGCCATTTCTGTTCATCAGAGCCTTGGTTCTGAAAACCAAGAAGATAAAAACCAAGAAGATAAAATCAGAGGCTATCCTTTAGTCACTGCTTATTCTACCCTGGGAAAATACTGCTTTGGTTCTCCTTGTGTCTTCACTACACTAGCTCTGTGAGGCAGGTATGATTTAGTCCTGCCTCGCGGGAACAGAAACAACGTCAGAGTTTAAGGTGCTGGCTCCAGGTCATGCAGCTGGAAAAGGACGGGCTCTGGAGCCCTGGCTCTCAACCGCTGGGCTACCTGCCACAATCCTACCGCTCCACTGTGCCCAGGTGCGACCCACTGGGGCCTGCCATGAGCCCTCGAAGTTTTCCACATTCATGCAATACTCGTGGCTGATCCCAAATAAATAAAAATGGAGGCAGCCATATGGTAGTCTGTGACTGATAATACAGAATAAACAACAGATCTTTCCAGCTGGAACTTGCAAAAAGCACAGAGATCCTATATGGCCAAGGCAGTTATGATAGTGTATGTAATGCGTAAATAATGTCAGACCATTTGCAATAAGTACTTCATGTGAAATATAACGTATTGTCAGAATTAAAAGGGCTACTGGGAGAAGCTTTGTAAAAAAAACCAAAAAACAGGATCGTTAACCCGATTTGTGATGCCTCTGGAGGAATAAAGGGGAGCCCTCTTTTTTTGCAAATAAAAAGGAAATACAAACTCAACAGTGATATTAACATTAGTCATAGTTCATTCTTTCTACTTTTCCTTGTTTTTTAGTTTCCTAATAATGAGCATTCTTGTATCAGCCAGAAAAACCATTTAGATGCTTTAAAAGAATTACAACTCTTCACCTGAAACTAAAGGGAGCCATGTTGCAACAGCCGTGAAATTTATCAGGCTCCCAACTGTAATCCTGACGCATCCATTAACTTGCTCTGTGAAGGCCCACTCTGGGGATGGCATCTCCTCTGTCCCTCAGGTGCCCACCTTTTTCAAACCAGTGTCAAATGCAAAGTGAAAGTGGCACAAAAGATATTGCAAGAACCGTGCAATTAACAAAGGGAGAACAAGTCACTGAGCTTTTAGACAGCTCTTTTCATTGTACAGACCTAAAATTAATATTTCCCAGTTGCCTTATTCCTTTTGTATTAAAAGAAAAAAGCATAAGATGATCTTCTCTGGGCCTTTCACAAACAAAAACAATGGTGCTAATAACACCTGTGTGGGTTCTCCACGCAGTAATAATCACATAAGCCCTCCATGGCCTCCTCCGCGCTAAGGCACCAGTTACCACAGTTACTGGGAAACACAGCTAGCAATACCACTGCTAAATACAGTAATGCCTTGGTTTGCGAGCGTAATTCATTCTGGAAACAAACTACTTGTATTGCAAGACATCGCTCGTTTACCACGTTAAAATGTAACAGAAATGTTTGCTCGTCTTGCGGAGCACTCACAAACCACATTACGCTCAATCCAAGGTTGTACTGTACCTGCTAATATGCTCCCACAAAATTCGAGCTTTAAATAAACGCCACTGTCATTTCCAAAGCCAAGCAGGCCTTGGCTTTGCTTTTGTCTTTAATTTGTTTTGTATTAGGAGCCAGAGTGTTAAAATAACTTTCCATCAATGCATAAAACATCACAACATCCCAACTTCAAATGGTGTTTATCATGAGCTGTCAAAAGCCTGGTTCTCTCAATTTTTTTAAATTTATTGCGGTGACAATGGTTAGTAAAATTAACATGGAAAAAAACAAAGTGTCCTTTGATAGATAATTGGATAAAGAAGATGTGGGAGATTTTATTTATATATATATATATATATTACACACACACAGTGGAAAACTGCCATTTACGACAACATAGATGGATCTTGAGATTATGATGCTAAGCGAAATAAGTCAGACAGAAAAAGTCAAGAGCCTGGTTCTCTTTTGTAGCCAGAAGAGTGATCTGACCACATCAGACAAAGCTTTTGTTTCACTAGGATGGGGGAGGGGGGAGGGGAAATCCAGTGCCAAGGAGACAAAATTTGATGAAATAATTTCCAGCAGCCATTGAAACCTCAATGTTCATTGTTAATAAGCTGACCTCTGAAATTCTGAATTTTTATGTTATATATCCCTATACATGGCCATTGATAGAAACAGCTTTCATCTTACATAAACCATACTGAGCTTGCTGTTCCTCAGATAACTCTTCCCAAACTCTAGTATCACTAGAAATGAATTCAAAACTCAAAGTGAGCCTCAGAAAAGGAATCTGAGATCAAAAACAGTTGCCATCATCATAAAATGGCAGGCTGCATGACCACTGCCTGCTGGGATTTCTGTTAGGCTGAGGGCTCCTGCAGGTCTCATCCGACCTTCATTCCTTATTTTCAACAACTCCAGAGAACTGCAGAAATAGGAACAGGGCAGAGAGAGGGACAGGGTGCCCTCTCATCCATTCTTTGCTAAGCAGGCAGCGTGGTCATCCCAAAACAGTGCCGGATATTGTCACCTGCTGTCTGAAATCTTCAGTGCTTCCCACTATTCAACAAATAGGACACAAACGTCATCACGACCTGGCGCCAGCCTCTCTAACCCCATCTCCTGCCCCTTCTCTCTGGCGTCTCACCAACTTTCACTCAGCCCCACAAGTCTTCTATGTCCCATAAACATGCTGAGCTGTAGGTCACCCAGTAGACAAAGCAGAGAAAGGCACACCCAGCAGAGGAAACTGCAGGTGCAAAGGCCCAGGGGTTGACAGGGAAGCCATTGAGAGAGGCAGTTAAGGGCTCAGACTCTGCTGACACAAGTCATTGAATTTCCATGAGCCTGAGGAGCCTGAGGCTCTTCACCTACAAAACGGGAGTTACAAGCCATCTGCACCTCACTGGGGCCACTGCGGATGACATGAGCTGCGACTCTCAGCAGGCCCAGCACCGTGTCTGAGCCTGACAAATGCTCAGGGAATGACAGTTGGCTTTCCACAATGGGCGATCATGGGAAGGGCCAAGGGGGAGGTGGGTAGGCTGGTCCCCAGGCCCCAGATGGAAAAGAGCTGTATGTGGTGGACCAAGGAGCTCGGACAGCTGTGGAGAGAGACTCGCTGTCCCCAAAGTGCAAATAGCACCAACAGCATTGCTAGCCATCTGCCAGCATTGTTCTAGGTGCTGGGGTGGGGTGGGGGTGGGGGGCAGGAAAGTTGTGGGGTTCACATCCTAAAGGCCATATTACCTAGAGCTCAGGGAGAGAGGAGGACTTGAAAGGAAGACGGGGTACAGGGAAGGGCTCCCCCAGAGAAAACGTGGGGGAGTTACTTCTCTCACCTGCCTCGGCACATGCCAGGCACCCTCCCATGGCTGAGCCATGCCTAAATCACCGCAGAGGCACTCGCTGTATCCTGGCCCATCAATGCTCGGGGCCGTATTTCTTCCTACTCTCAGCAGTTTTATTTCTTTGAAAATTAATCTGAAGGCAGTTAAGGAGGAGGTGCCATTTGACAACACTAGTGACAGTGACAAATCAAAACCAAACGCCAAGTGGAGACACACTAACTGCAGCTGATGCAGCTTCCAACACAGCCCGATGCGGGCCAAATGATTGAAAACGGAGCCTTGATTCTCTGGAAGGCACAAAGACAGCCTGTCTGCTACAAGACGTGGCTCCTAAGTTGTGCTTGGAAAGTGTACAACTCATGGTTAATAAGGTGTAAATGCTTACCAGTCACCATTTGGATTTCATCCTTGACGCTGGAGAGAAGCCGGTAGAAAGATTTAAGAAGTTGAAGTCACATGGTTGCTTAGCAATATCTATCAAACTTTTAAAATCACTCCGTGACTTGGCCAAGACGTGCTGGGAAGTTATCCCGCCCTGCCCCTCTACTTACACATGTGTTCAAAGCATGAGTTGAGCTCCAAATGGCTGGAACCCACCTCAAAAACTGCTTGGGATTGGTGAAATATACCAGGTTCCGCTGCTCTCTCCCAAGGCCCGCCCCTTGGCAGACATCACTAGTCAACTGCTGCACCCCTTCCTCAAGAAGACACCCAGGCAGCCCAAACTGATCCATCAGTGTGTTGGCTTACAAGATGACACCTATTTGGTATTGCTGGCATAAGGGCTGGGGCGGGGGGGGGAGCGCCATCAAGACGGTGACATTTGAGTTGGGTTTTGGAAGATGACGCCTTTGGAGCTTCAGGAGACTGAGCAATCCATTCCAGCT